ATTTTGGTAATTGTTTCTATATATATTTACTAAGGGTGAATAATATTGACAGATGGATATGCTAAAGGTGATTGTTACCATTGATTGGATAGACTGTAAGAAAGATATAGAATCTTATTTTTCTTTGAAGGGGTGTAATTTAAAAAAAAAAAGTAGTATTTTTTGATTTTCTGAATTTATTCTCACATAATAATAAAAAAATAAAAATCTAAAATTTTAACTCTTTCATTATATTCTATTGACAATAGTTTGTCAACAACAATTTGTATGTACTTCGTTTGTCATCAAATTTTTATTTATTTGGTAACTACTATTGATAATAGTTTATATTTAAGTAAATAAACTTATTGAGGGGTTGCTCAATTGGTCAGATCTTGGGTTTGCTCCTCAATGGTCACCAGTTCGAGTCCCCTCAGGGCCAATAAGGTGAGTACTCGGCCGTAAACTTCAGGGTCCCGTGGGATTAGTCGAGGTGCGCGCAAATTGGCCCGAATATCCACAGTTATAAAAAATAATAATAATAAACTTATTGAATTGTTGTTACCTTGTGCCTTATTTATATATAAATTTAATTTAATTGATTTTTTTTTAATTTAAACCATCTTTAACAAAAATCCTAGATTCTCCTTTTCTAGAGTTGTATATTTGGCTTATGGAAGACTTTCTTAAAGTTTTTTGTTAGAAACTTAAAAAGCTTTTTGTCTTCTATGTTTGACCTGGACATGATCGTCCCTTTGAGATATTGACCAATTACCCTTTAAGGCAGGTTTTACAAAAGCCTGATACTTCAGGTCGGATGGTTAAGTGGGCAGTAGAGCTAGGTCAATTCGACATAAGATACAAGTATCGCACTTCCATAAAGGGCCAAGCTCTTGTTGATTTTGTTGCGGAGTTCAGTTCGAATCCAACAGAAAAACTCCCTTGCGATACTCAATGGGAACTTTTTGTTGATGGATCCTCTACTGGAGCTCTGTCGGGAGCTGGAATTGTCTTGATTAGTCCAAACCACCAACTGTTCTGTGAAGCATTATCTTTTGATTTCAAAGCCTCGAATAATGAGTCTGAGTACGAAGCACTTATAGCAAGGATGAGAATGGCGAAAGACATGAGAATTACTCATTTGACAGTTTACAGTAATTCGCAACTGGTGGTTAACCAGATCAACGAAGCTTACCAAGCTAAGGAGGAAATGATGAACAGCTACCTTCAAGTCGTCAAATTAGAGCTCAAAAATGTCAAGACCGTGCTAGTCAAATGAATTCCCTGAACTTAAAATAGCCATGTCGATGCCTTAGCTCGACTGGCGACAAGTGAAGGGAAAAAGGGATTTGATAGTATTCTGGTAGGAAGGACTTGTCATCCAGCCATTGAGGAGTTGGAAATCGTTTCTATGATGACTGATCTGAAATCAACATGGATGGATGAAATCAGGTCAAACCTGAAAACAGGTTTATGCCCAGAAGATCCCGTCGCAGCAAGGAAACTACGGGCGAGGTTGACAAGGTACACACTGATTAATAATGTCCTTTATAGGCGATGATATTCTGTGCCTTTGCTGAAGTGTTTAAATGAAGAGGAAGCACTTTATGCTTTGCATGAAATACATGAAGGAGTGTGTGGGAATCATGTTGGAGGGCAGTCATTGGTTCATAAAATAATACGGCAATGATACTTTTGGCCCACCATGAAGAAGGATACGTTGGAATTTGCTAGAAAATGTGACAAATGCCAACGATTTGCTCCTAATATCAGGCTTCCACCAGGAGAGCTGAATCATGTAATGGCCCCATGGCCCTTTTCTAAGTGGGGGTTGATTTAATTGGTCTCATGCCAACTGGAAATTGAGGAACGAAGTTTGCACTTGTAGCAGTGGATTATTTCACTAAATTGGTGGAGGTTGAACCTCTGGCTAAGATAACCGAGCAAAAGACTACTGACTTCATGTGGAAGTCCATCATATGCAGGTTTGTGAGACCACACTCTATAGTGATTGACAGTGGTAAACATTTTGAAAATATTCACTTTGCCAATTTTTGTAAGAACTTGGCATACGAAAATACTTCTCCACGCCAAATCATCCTCAAGGTAACGGCCAAGTTGAAGCAATTAATAAGATCATCAAGCATACGATGAAGGCCAAACTAGATGCTCTTAAGGGAAGATGGGCCGAGGAACTCCCTAGCATCTTGTGGTCTTATCGCATTACGTTTAGGAATAGTACTGGAGAAACCCCTTTTTCTTTAGCATTTGGGGTGGAAGTTATTATTCCCCTTGAGATAGGAATTTCTTCTATATGAACAATGATGTATCAAGAGGAAGGAAATGAGAAGGTCTTGCGAGGATAGCTGGATTTAGTAGAAGAGAGAATGAATAAGGCCGAAATCAGGAATGCCATATATAAGTAACGCAATGCAAGGTACTATAATCAGAAGGTTAAGATACAGGAGTTCAAGGTTGGTAATATGGTGACAAGAGAACCTAGCTCTAGATCTCTAGGACCTAACTGGAAAGACCCTTATAAAGTAACCAAAGTACTACTTAAGTGAAATTATGAGCTGGAAGATATGGAAGGT